TTTCAAAGTGTTTATGTACAAATTAATGTGCAAACATTGAACAAATCTCTTTATTATGTAAGATATGTAATCAGATTTTTTCAGTGTTTGACTTTGGGAAAAGATGTGGAAAAAATCTGAACCGTATCAGTCAAATTCTTTTGTGTGTGAACTTTTTAGTGTTGACTGCAATTTGCAAAAAGAATTCAGCCACAATGTCTGATGAATTGAGAGAAACACAATATATTTGTTAGTCATTTATGAGTTTGGTCTAAATACATCCATTCTTTAAATCAGCAGGTATTTACAATTCAACCAAAATGGCTGATTTAAACAAACAAAAAAAAATGCTTTCCCAAATATTTATGAGAAATAAAACTTTCTTTTAAAGAAATCAAGCAGTTGAAAATAATGGACACCTGATGGTTTAAAAGTTTGGAAATAACATTTTAAAATATTAGGTGATATATTCTACAATTCATTGGTGTGTTTCATCTTATAATTTCCTTAGAAATATTTAATAAATCACTGAACAGAAGCTAAAAGAAATGAGATTTTTTTTTTTTTTAACTTTAAGGTATTTGCTTTCTGTGAATTTAATTCTTTTTGGTGTATTTGTGTTTTTTTTTTCTTCCTATAATTTCTTCAATGAATAATTATTTAATAAATTAAATAACAACTAAAAGAAGTGAGATTTTTTTTAGTTTTTGCTTCAATCAATTTTCTCTTTTTCTACAGTGTCTTTATGTTTTTCTCTCTGAATTTCCTCAGAGCAGAAATTGTTTAATCAAGAACAAAATGGTAGCTTTAAAGACAAAACATTAATTTATTATTTTTTCATGACAGCTGTAATTGCAGATGAAGCATTTTAGTAAAATTAGTATAGAAGAGTGAATTTGTCTTGCATTCACATGGTACATTTTAATGAAGATATCTTTTGCAGTATTATTCTTGTAAATTACTGCAAACATTATTTCATTTACAATAATAGTCGATTTGCATGGCATCCTTTGTCAAAGAATGTTTATGTGTATGGCCATTTGGTTCCAAAAATGCTGGCAAATTGAATTTTGTAGATATCATTTGTTCACTCAAGATTTGACATATATTGGTCAATGCCATTATCCTGCATTTCTTCTACTTTTTAAAAATTTTTTCCCCAAATTCTAGAATAACCTGGGCTGTATCTCTATCAAACAACCCCTTCAGAAACACTAGCCCCCATTAGTTGTGATGCTTGATTTCTTGTTGTTAAAAAAAGATCATAAAACTTGTATTTTCTTTGCTAATCAGTCTAGATTGTGAAAGAAGCACATGGTTAAAGTCTCACTGTTTGTCTGACTTCTTGCGTTATTTGCAATGATGTCATCATTTATTGTGACAGAGCATAGATGTGACAGTCATGACATGTTGAACATTGAGAGCTGGGGATGGTTTGAGTGTGTTGAATGCTAAAGGATTAAACCAAATTTGTAATCAGATTTTTTCACAGTGACTTTGGAAAAAGATGCAAACATACTAAACCGTATCAGTCATATTCTCTCTTGTATGGACTTTTCAATGTCTGCTGAAATTTGCCAAAAAGAATTCAGGCCCAATGTCTGATGGACTGAGTGAAACACAGTGTATTTGCTATTCGCTTATGATAAAAGTTTGGTTTAAATACATCCATTCTTTTCAATCAGTAGATATTTACAATTTAACCAGAATGGCTGATTTAAAACAAAAATGACTTGTACTCCAAATATTTATTTTAGATAAAATAAAAAATTTTTTTTTTTTAAAATAATAAACACCTGATGGTTTAAATATTTGGAAATAACATTTTAAAATATTAGGTGATATATTCCACTATTCATTGGTGTATTTCATCTTATAATTTCCTTAGAGAAATATTTAATAAATCACCAAACAGAAGCTAAAAGAAATGAGATTTTTCTTCTTTTTTTAAGCTTTTTGCCTTTCTCTTTGGTGCATTTTTTTTTCTTTTTTCTTTTCATAATTTCTTTAATGAATAATTATTTAATGAATGAAATCATGACTAAAAGAAGTAAGTTTTGTTTGTTTATTTTTATTGCTTCAATGAATTTTCTCATTCAATGGCTAGATGTAATTGTAAGTTCTATGTAAATATTCATTTTTCATGATTATGGGTTCTTCCAGAGTGTGCATGTTAATTTTTGCATGTGAATTACTTGAAAATAAAGTGGAACAGAATTCACATGCAATTACAAGTGTCACAAAATTTTTTTTAAATAATGAATTAACAGGTTTAGTGCTTAAAGCTGCCATTTTGTTTTTGATTAAACAATACTTGCTCTGAAGAAATTCTGAGAGAAAAACATAACATTACATTTCAACTGTAAAATGATGGGACCTAGCTGCTAATCTAGCACTGCGCTTAAATTTATAAAATTTAGGTACCATACAAGTGTTTTCCATTATGCACATCTCCTTAAATGCTCTTGATGATGAACATACACAAATAGTATGGAAGGTATTATCTGGGAATGCAAATTTGTTGAAATTTTACCAAAATATCTTGACTTTTACAGTGTAATTTATTTATGAAGGCATCATATGTGTTTTGATATTTCATCATTTCAAAGTCAGAGGTGAGCCACAATTGAGCTGTAAGAACAAGATGGGATATCCCTAGACATGGACAGTGTGATGAAAACAATCTACCACTGTAGATTAAATAAAGGATTCAGTTTGAAAGGTTATCCAGAAGTTTATCCAGCTTGACAGAAACCTGAGGAAAGCCAAAGTGTACATCATTGAAAATGTAGTGATAATAACAACAAAGATAAGGACATTGGTCTGCATATAAATAATAACTCCTCATCATGAAAATTCAGATGGAGTAATTGTGAGTTCAGTCCCTGGGTTGGGTAGTACAGAGTGAGATTCAGTGCAGATGGGGTGAGCAATAACTGAACAATACTAAACAAGGTCTAGATGAGATATCCCTGGACATGGTCAGTGAAATAAGAACAATCTACTCTGCAGATTGAATAAAGTTTTTGAAATTCTCTGAAGCTTATCCAAATTGACAGACACCTGAAGAAGGCCAGAAGACACAATGGCTGAAACGTTGTGATAATGCCAACAAAAATGAGGATAATATTCTAAATGTTAATAACGTTACATCAACTATAAATAAATATCCTGTTTTTGAGTGATGTGGTTTTTTTTTTATATTTTAAGCTTTTTCATTATTTAAATGCATTGTAATGTAAGATAGTATACAATTAATACTATTGAATATTTTTTAAAACTTTATACTAAATTTTATATTAGCAATGTTTATTAAATTTAATCAGCAGAATATTATCATAATTTTAAAATTGGCTGCCTAGCAGCAAAAAGTGATGCCCTATAGAAAATAACTTAAAATCTTTAGGCTAAAAAGTTACTAAACAAGAAATATGAACATTTTACAACTTCTATCTATATTTCTGAGATGAGGTATTGTAATTATTTACACTAATTACATTGTTCGGACTGTTGTCCTCATCTTTGTTGCTATATTCACTCCTTCAATATCTGTCTATATTTCTGAGATGAGGTATTGTAATTATTTACACTAATTACATTGTTCGGACTGTTGTCCTCATCCTTGTTGCCATATTCACTCCTTCAATATCTGTCTATATTTCCGAGATGTGGTATTGTAATTATTTACACTATTTACATTGTTCGGACTGTTGTCCTCATTTTTGTTGCTATATTCACTCCTTCAATATCCGTCTATATTTCTGAGATGAGGTATTGTAATTATTTACACTATTTACATTGTTCGGACTGTTGTCCTCATCTTTGTTGTCATATTCCCTCTTTCAATATCTGTCTATATTTCTGAGATGAGGTATTGTAATTATTTACATTGTTCGGGCTGTTGTCCTCATCTTTGTTGCCATATTCCCTTCTTCAATATCTGTCTATATTTCTGAGATGAGGTATTGTAATTATTTACATTGTTCAGACTTTTGTCCTCATCTTTATTATCATATCCACACTGTTTCAGCCAGTATGATCCAGTCTTCAGGTGATATATGTTGGAATTTTGAACTGATCTCTTTATTTAGTCCCAATCCCTTTATTTAGTCCATAGGAGTAGATTGTTCTAGTTCCATGTGCAATCCCTTTTCTAAGTTTCAGTTATTTCCCTTTAATAACTCAGGTTTTCAAGTTTTTGCTCACGACTGATGTCCCCAAGGACACATGACCTAGTGGATAAAAGCATTGGTTGGAATCATCCAAAATTTGTGAGTTCAATCCCAAACAAAAACTTAGAGAGTTGAGTTAGAGGAATTAACTGAAATATCAAGAAAAGGGATGGCATGTTGAACTAGAATAATCTACTCTCATGGAATAAGTAAATGGTTCAGTTTGAAATTCCAATGTTTATCACCTGAAGAATGCTGAAATGTACAAGGGCTGAAACCGTCAATATGACAATTAAAATAAGTCAAAGTTTTTTCTTAATATAGTTATTATTTTTTAAAATTGACAAATCATTTTTAGAAAAAAAATATTAGAAAAAAACAAACAATTTTAGAACATATATGCTTTAAAATGTTTATTTTCTGGGGAACTATATATTGTTAAAAATGCTCATTTTCTTTTATTTGACACTTGTTCAACTACAAAATGGCTCTAAGTACCTTCATGATACCAATTATTCTTCGATAATATTGATTGATTGATTCGTTTTTTATGACTTATCAACCCATTTGCAGGTTTATTTAAATCCAGAAAATATTTTTAGATTGTAAGAATTTTTTTTGAGATAATAATGGTTCATTTTTAAATTGTAAGAATTTTTTTTTTTTAATTAATAATGGATTGGTGATACAAGTTTTACTAATTAGCCCATAGCTGGGGAGAGAAGAGATGGATTCATACCTTTCCCAAGGGTATTTTTGCATAAGTGAATATAATGAACCCAATTGGAATTGAAACTTGTCCCTCTGATTAACAATTCCAAGCCATTATCCATCACACCACCTGCAAGCTCACAGCACCTGGTTTTTCCATGTAGTCACCCATCTAGATACTGACCAGGTTTGGCATTGCTTAACTTCAGTGATCATACAGGAACTGGTGTTTCAACGTGTCTTTAAACCATTCTTTGATAATGTGTAACTGAAATGTCCCTAACCCGCCTTATCTGTTACCCTTAAACACTAGGCAACTTCAGTTACCAAGGAAAGCATTTGTCCTGCCATTGCAGTTGACTTCAATTGCCAAATAACAGTGTATTGTTACATCCTGTTATAGCAACAGCAAAAAACAGCCTTGGCTTAAATCGAGATCACGGCTACTGTAGTTTGTGTTTGAGGAGCCAGCATATATAATGAATGGAGAAATAATACTTATGAATAATGTAGAGTGTTAAAGCCATTTTTTATACAATGCAAATCATATATATTATTTTTTATTCAACTTGTTACTATTTTCATATCATTTGTGATTTAAATTGTGCAGTAGGAGATACATGCTGACTGACTTAATAATGCAGACAATATCAGCTTTAATAATACTTTGTTTTCTTTTACAGATTTCAAATATGGTTTGGAATAAATGAACTCTCCTGGCAGTTGTATATGAATACTGTACAGAGAAACTGTGCTTACACATTCATTATTGAATATAAAGAAATATAATCAAGATAGCATAGCGATGTTTTTGAATTCAAAGTGACAAGCTGAAAAAGCTTTCAACAGACCTAACTCTTCAAATATGATTATTTTAAAGTGTTTTTACTAAAAACAAATTAAAAAAAAGTATATTCATCAGGGTTTCAATATATCTGTTAAAAGGAATTTGTAAAGACAGATATATCAACACAAGCTGAAGAGAATCCCTATTCATGTGAAAAGCATGGATTTAAATTTTCACAGAGTATGCATTTAAAACCTCGTATTGAAAGACACCCTGAAGAGAAGCCATATTCATATGAAGTTTGTGGTTTAGCATTTTCATAAATTTACCATATTCATGTGATACATGTGGTTTGGCATTTAAAGAAGATTACATGTAAAAAGACATATGCAAACACACAGGTGAGAAACCATATTCATGTGAAGCGTGTAGTTTGGCATTTTCTAGAAGTTCATATTTAAAAAGACATGCAAACAACCACTTGTGAGAAACCGTATTCGTGTGAAGTGTGTGGTTCAACATTTTCAAGAAGATCAAATTTAAAAAGACATATGCAAATACATACTGATGATAAACCATATTCATGTGAAGTGTGTGGTTTGGCATTTTCTAATAGTTCATGTTTAAAAAGACACATGCAAACGCACACTTGTGAGAAACCATATTCATGTGAAATATGTGGTTCAGCATTTTCAAGAAGATCACATTTAAAAAGACATATGCAGATACACACTGGTGATAAACCATTTTCATGTGAAGTGTGTGGTTCGGCCTTTTCACTGAAGTACCATTTAAAAAGTCACATGCAAATACACACTGGAGTGAAACCATATTCATGTGAAATTTGTGGATTAGCATTTTCACAGAATTCAAATTTAAAATGTCATATACGAACACACACTGGAGAGAAACCATTTTCATGTGTATTTTGTGGTTCAGCATTTTCACAGGGTTCAATTTTAAAATCTCACATGCGAACACACACTAGGGAGAAACCATATTCATGTGAAAAGTGTAATTTAGCATTTTCAAAGAAGTCACATTTAAAAACTCACATGAAAGCACACACTGGATAAATGTCATTTTGTGAAATTTGTGGTTTATCATATTCACAGCATTCACTTATTTCTCTGATATGAACACGTGTGGACAAGCAGGTATATTGTAAGATTTGTCATCATTTTCAGTTTTAAACCTTAAAATAAAGGTTGGTGGTTACCAGGTGATATTTTTAAGGATTTATCCAATTAATGTTTTATACAATTTTTGTAATTTAATTGATTTTTGAGGATCTGCTAGATGATTATGGGATGGACTAACAGTTTTATGTATTTTGCATAAAAAAGCAATAGTTCATGGTTAATGGCTTTTAGTCATTTGCTATTGTTTAGATTGTAATGCTGAAAATGATTTTTTGAAGTTATGTCATCCTTCATTTATAAACCAAATTAATGGATATCTATTCACAGTCTGCTTTGCCTGCATTTGCAATGTTTTGTCACATGTTCAATGTATTTATTGAACAATTTTGTTAATGTCATTATATAAAGAAAACATGTAGAATATTTTATTTGGTGTTATTGATGAACATTAACCTGGCCCTTTTATGGAGATGCATCTGAAATATTTTAAGTAATAGTAATTTATTAGCCATACTCCATATATGAATAAAATCTAAACATGACTAATTACAAGAATTTTTGTTATTACTAATGTTTTGGTTTGTACTATCTTCTTTGTTTTTAATCATTTCACCCTAAGCAAGGCAATAAAGCCACTAGGATGCATAAGGTTACTGAGTGTTAGAGAATATGAGAAAGGAGAGAGGACAATAAAAGAACAAGAATTATTGAAGACAGAAGATAATGATTGACATTTCATTTAAATTTTTGAAGATCAAAGTTGACTGGAAAACAAGAAGCCAGAAGATTTCACAAGCGAGAAGTGCGAGAAAAGGAAATGTTAGCATAGAACTTATTGTTACATCTCACCATTTCAAATGTAAAAGGATGAGACCTTGCCACCAATCAAGTACTACACTTAAATTCATAAAGTTTAGGTACCTTAGAGGAAAGTAATATTTATTTTGATATAATACAAAAGGAGAGATAAGGGAAGGCTGGTCTTCAGCCTGTCTTATCTTAAAATTAGCTAGCCACGATTACTGACCCAAACATACCACAGTATTCTTTACAGCAAATCAACACATTCTTACTTACCATTCTTACTACAGACACCATAATACCTCAAGTCTCTGTGTAGTCCAAACTAGTTCCCTTATGCACAATTTACAATGAATGCAATTTATATACCATAGAGGAAATTTCATCAGAACAATTACCATGAAAGTATTTATAGAAAAGGCACATGGAAACTATGTTATGGTGGTGGAAAAGCAACTGAAGCCTAGATGCCAGGTCAGGACCAGTAACATTGTAGATTCTTCTTTAGATTTTATTAAGAATCTCTAAATATATAGCAAGAATACTAGACTTGGTGTGGCAACAATATTCAAAGCTACGATGAATGGTAGACTTATAAATTGATTTTGTCATTTAGTTACCCACAGATGACACTAATTTACAGTAGGTCCATTTTCCAAAATCTTAACTAATCAGAATCTTTCATTGATAGTATGAAATTGCTGCAGTTGCAATTTTATTTTATTTTTATGCTAAAGTTGACCAATTACAAGACTCTAGAGACACTCAAGGTAGAAAGCTAGTAAATAAAGTATGTAAAAGGGGGTGGTAGGGAGTGAAGACTATGAAGATAGATAATGCTTGACTCTTTAACTTGAAGATTTTAAGCGTGTCATGTTGATGCCTCTCTTATTGGAGAAAAGCCTAAGTGGAACTCTGTGGAGTGAGTAGACATGGTCAGATGCAAGATAAATAACAGAACTGTCCAATAATTTAGAATTGACAAAGTTTGCAATAAAATGAAAAAGGAACAGGGCAAAAAATAATATCAAGCAAACAAACAATACATGAGGTGTTTAGTAACAGTGTTATAAGTACCACCCCTGCCATTTTCGAGGTTAGTATATCATTTCCTTTGTCTCGATGTCTAGAATCCAAAAAAGTTGGTTGGAACAACTAGTCAGGCTTGCAGTAAGGTCAAAAATCCAGCTGAAAACAATTGTACTTCGACACTATTGACATGACGCTCATTATTCCAAACTTGGACCAGAGGGTTTAGTAACCCACCATTGTAAGTGACACACACTTCACAAGGAGGTCAGCCGGCCAATAGCAGGCGTGTATTCATCCAATGTAAACAAAGCCGCAACCAGAGACCGTGTATGGCTCATTTTCTAATATTCCACCATCAAAGCTGATATTTTGTTATTTTGACATAGAAAATTGCTATGTGATGATAATAGTCACAGAATAGAAAATCGTAACTTCAAGATGCGGTTCTATGATGTCATACCATGCAATAGACCAAAATATTACAACAGAACCAATGTCTAGATGCAAAATAACAAAATATCAGCTTTGACGGTGGATATATTTGTTTCATGTCTGTATAACCATTCTGAGGATGGCTCGTGTGAGTCGAAAGCTTAGGACCAACTTAATAAAAAAAATATCCAAATGTTGGACAATTTTTGTCTTTATTTTCACTGGAAATTAAAGCAAACCTTTAAACATTAGAATGGCTCATGATCAGATATAATAGACATTCATTGTCTGTGATATTTAATTATATATGTTTAAATAATGATCTACTGCTGCCCCAATACACTATATATATATATATATATATATATATATTCTCCCAGACTCTTTCTCACATGCACCAGGATGTTTAGATTTGAATTCTTGAACCTTCACCTTATCACTCTATCCTTTTGTAGGTTCACCTCTTATCCAGTTCACACTCCTCTCCAGTCTTTTGACCAGGATTAGAGATTTATCTCTTGTTTCATGTCTTGGATTAGGCTTCCAATTCCATCTAGTCTTGTCATTCTCTTTCACTTTCCTAGTAGCCCCTTGCATCTTAGTGGCCTTATCTCCTTGACTGGGTTGATTGATAAAAATATATACACTACAGTTCAAAAGTTTGAGGTCACCCCTAGTAATTTTTTTAAATTGGCCCAAAAAGTAGTTGTTTTGTACTTTAAGGGAAAATTATTATACAAAGTGAAAAAAAAGTGAGACATGATTTTTTTTTTTATTAGAAATTTTATTATGACAAAAAGAAATGATTTTCTGATTAAATTTTGCTCTCATCAAAATATCCTCCTTTAGTTTTGATTACTGCAGCACATTTTTGGCATTCGTTGAAAAAGTTTCTCAAAGTATAAGTTTGATAATTCCGTTCTTTTTTTCAATGACTCTTTTTCCATTTTTTTTTTTTTTTTTTTCAATCTCCTGTCAAGCTCATCTCATGGTAATTCGGGGGGCTTCAAACTTTTGAACTGTAGTTCATATATATATATATA